CCCCCGCGCCTCTGCTGTGTGACCTGGAGCCTGTCTTGCCCGCTCTGGGCTTCTGTGTCTTCTGACCACAAGGGCTGGACAGAATCCTTGTAATATGAGACATATGGTGCTCAGCATCCTTGGCTGTGGCTCCTCAGGCGAGTGGGGATGCCTGTCAGTGCCTCAGTTTCCTCACATGGTGGATGGGGACTCCTGGCTCTAGAGGAATTGAAGAGTGTGGGTGTCAGGAGCTCAGCTCAGGGATGCACCCTGTAAGTCCCACAAGGGCTAGTGGGATTCAGTTCCCGGGATGTCTGACACCAGGTGGTTCCAAGCCCCATCCTGTCCTGTCTCCGGAGCTTCCAGGAGGAGGCTCAGGCTAGGCCTCTTGTCCCCCTTCTGAGTTCTGTGCTTCTCAGACACTAACACCTGCTTCCTTCTGTCTGTCTGCCCCTGGCCCCATCTGCCCAGCCCGGGCTGCCCGCCCTCCTCTCCCTGCTCCTCTGTGTGATCCCCAGCAAGGCGGTTCACCTCACCTACGAGCCGGCCTGGCAGCTCCCACCTGGGGAGCCGCCCGCAGCCCCCACCTCCACTACCTCTCCCTCCTTTTCCCGACAGGTAATGGCTCCAGAGAGGGGCCACCCCTCTGTCCTCTCTGCTTCCCTCACTCCGCATGCACCCCAGGGCGGCCGTGTGTGTTTCCTCCTGTGTGCACGTGCTTGTGTGTGCTGGGGGGTACCTGCGTGTACCTGTGGGGTCACTCCAACCCTTCCTCCTTGAGGAGGCAGCGAGGGTCTTCAGGATGAGGCCCCAGACCCAAGTCTGTAGTCCTGCAGTGCAGGGAACAGAATACACACCTGGAAGGGACACAGCTGTAGCCTCTGGGGCAGCGGAAGAAGGGACCTCTTCCTCTTCTCGGGACTCGGCTCTCCTGCTCGGCCCTTGGGGACTGCCCCCCGGCACGCTGCTGTCTGCCTGCGTCCTTCCTGGCTCCCGCCTCCTTCGCTCTCCCCGTCTCTGCCCTGCTGGCCCCCAGCGCCCTGACCACCCACCCCGCTCGCCTCCCCCGCAGGTGGACACAACGCTGTTTGCAGAGTTTCAGGCCTGGAGGGAATCGCCTGCCCTGGACAAGAACAGCCCCTTCCTGGAGAGGGTTTACCGGGAGGACGTGGGCCCCTGCCTGGACTTCACCACGCAGGAGGTGAGCGCGGGCGAGGGCAGCCAGCCAGCGGCCCAGCCCCGCAGCCGCGGCCGCCCCTCACCCCCCGCATCCTGGTCTGCCACAGCTCTCCGCTCTGGTTCGGGCTGCCGTGGAGGACAACACGCTCACCATCGAGCCCGTGGCTCCGCAAACACCGCCCACGGTGAAGGTGGCCGCAGTTGAGTACGGCAGCACCAAGTAAGCTCAGCCCCCTTCACTCCTTCCTGCCACTCGGGGAGCCCCCCACCTGGACCCTGCCGAGGGGTGGCCAGGGAGGACTGGGCCTCTGCCTGCCCGCATATAGGCCAGGCTGGGGAGGGGTACAGGGGCACCTGACAGAAGAGGGACAGTGGCTGCCCTCATGCAGGGCAAGGAGGCATTTTTGGCTCTCTGCCCACTGACCCACCCTGCCCCAGTCATGGCCCCCCAGGTCTCCAGGGAGTCCAGGAGCTGGGGCCTCCCTCTTCCTGGCTGGCCTGATGCATACTCCCCTC